TCCTCACTTTCTGCCATCAGAGTGGTACCATCTGCACATCGGAGGTTGTTGATATTTCTTCCGGCAATCTTAATTCCGGCTTGGGTTTCTTCCAGTCCAGCCTTGCGCATGATGTATTCTGCATATAAGTTAAATAAGCCGGGGGACAATATACAGCCTTGTCGTACTCCTTTCCCAATTTTGAACCAATCAGTGTCAGAATTACCATCATACAATTATTAAAAAATCAGATAATTTTCACCCAATACTGTAAACATCAAAAGCATCCATTATTGTTATTTCCTCCTCTTCAACTGACAGAGATCTTTTGCATAGGTATGTATAAGTCTTTATCATTGTTAGTTCATTTTTGCACAAGAGGTTTAATGTGGCATCAGAAGTCCTACAAGCTATGTCTTAAGGTTTTTCTCCTACTTAGTGACAAAAAAAAGAGAGAAATACAACACTTTATTTAAGACTAAAAGCAAAAAAGCAGTGTGCTGCTTATATACCGCCCCATAGCGCTTCAAGCATTCTCTGGGCGGTTTACAATTTAATTATGCAGGCTACACATTGCCCCCCCAGCGAGCTGGGTACTCATTTTAATGACCTCGGAAGGATAGAAGGCTGAGTCAACCTTGAGCCAGCTACCTAGGATTTGAGCCCCAGGTCGTGAGCACAGTTTTAGCTGCAGTACAGCGATTTAACCACTGCGCCACGAGGCTCCTCAGCCTAAAAGCAAAAGCAATATCCTCAACTTGTATCTTAGGAAAAGTAATCCTAACATCCATATCAGATTTTTGCATAAAGCATCCTTCAGTTTTGAAATCCTTCAGAGAGCCTCCTCGCTTAGTCCCTCTACCTTCAGAAAGATGTCTGATGGAGACTAAAAAACAATGCTTTCTAAACAGCTGTTCCCATGTTCTGAAAGTCCTTCCCATGGAAATCTAAGCCAACCCACTTCCTCTTGCCTTTTCACCAATGGGCAAATACCTTTCATTCATCTTAGGTGACTAAGCTGGGTTACCTCAGGAGGCACCTTTAACTAAGTGAGCATGAGGAGTTTTCCTCTTTATTGATATGTTTCAATTACTTACTAATCTGTTTTATGTTTTACTTGCATTTCTTTTATTAGGTTTTAGAGTTAGGCTGCCTTGTTTGGATGAGAAAGCTGGAGTATAAATCTAACAACAACATAAAATGCATACATACTATATGCATACAGAGATAGATGTACATACATTTTCCCCGTGAATGATCAAGACCAAAAGGAGCTGCTAATGAAAGAATGCTGAAGCAAAAACATTTGATAGAGTTGGGAGATAAAATAGACCATGAAGTAAAACAGTAGCACAATATAAAGAGAAGGTATGCTTAGGGGTTTAAGCTAGTAATACTAGCATTGCATCCTGCTCTTCTGTGGTTATTCTCTCAGCAAAACAGGATCACAATACTCAAGAAAAACACCAGTCATGCAACTGCTGACATGAATCTTCCAGACTTACATCACGAGTGGAGGTCAAATCTGTCTTCATGAATTTGTTCAGATGGTACATTATTCTAGTTTTCCTCCGCTGTCGAAAATCCTTTTCTTCATCACACAGAGCCATGCTAAAACGGAGGTCTGTTTGGGAACTACAAAAGAGACAAGATCAACATCAAAAAGAAATTACTCGAACTAATAAGCCAACCAGGTAATTCAGATTCCTATTAATTTTTCTAGCAATAAAGCAAATCATGAAATATATTCAGTATGCTAGCACTGAAATAGCAGAAATTACCTTGGGATTCTGAATGGCTGTGGTAAAAAGTGTGTTATTTAATACTGCGGTCCCCAACCTTGGGCCTCCAGATGTTCTTGGACTACAACTCCCAGAAGCCTTCACCACCACCTCTGTTGGCCTGGATTTCTAGGAGTTGAAGTCCAAGAAGGTTGGCGACCACTGATCTAATAAACACAATACAGTTCAGGGTGGAATGCAAGGGATTATAATGTACTCTGTATCTGGCTGTAACTCTGACACCACAGCATGCAATTGCAACACAGCATGGCTTCTAGGATATCTTGAATACAGAAATCAAGTTTTCTACAGGTTCTATCTTGCAGGTAGAAAGGCAGGAATGAAGGGGATAAAGTTCGGGGAACGGAGAAGAGCCTTGAGTGATCATAAAACAATCTGCACTATCAAGCATATACTTAAGTAACTCACCTTAAGATTAATGGAACTTTAGCTACTTCCTGTATGATATTATGCTACATGCCTACTTCATATCTGATGTTTTGTACCTTATAATATCACAAAATTTAGATTTTCACACATATTTCTGAAAACTATAACCAGGAAGCAGCAGCAAGAAAAAACATTATCAAAGCTGATACCTATCCATTACTTCCTTTGTTTTATTTTTCAGTGTGTCATTATTACTTACCAAACTTCAAGAGAAACTTCCAAAATAATTTCTGTCACCTAAGTTTTAAAAAAAATTACAGTAGCATAGGTTTTTTGGTCAGTGAGCTCATGAGCATTATTTACAGATTCATTATTAACACAAAAACACGTAAGCCTATTTCTCAGTAGGAAAAGAGAATTATATAACCAAAGGAATGACAGAAAATGTAAAAATAAATGTAGAACCTGAAACTGTGACACCAAAATATTACAAGACAAACTCTTCAGATCAAAACAAGACACCTGCTTGCATAGCTTCCTATGTGCCGTATGGCCTAAGCATTCCCAGGAAATGCACATGCAATGCATATACAAGAGAATTTAATTTAGGGCTTGATTAGATGGCTCAAATGCAGCAGGTTCAATAGAGCCGCTTAAGGTTGCACTGAGGTCCAGTATACCATTCGGTGTGATTCTTCTATCCACAAGGTACATGGAGCTCAAGTGACTTTATTTTGATCACCTTCCATAAGAAAAGAAGAGGAAAAAAACGGGGGGCTAAGAGGTTAAGCTGAACAATGCTGGGAAATTGAAACTGAATGGGAAATTTAATACCACAAGTTCAGCTGCAGGGTTTTCACAGGAAAAAATTAAAATGAATTAAAATTTTATGTAACAAATACCGTTTCTTTTAATTCATAGGGCATCATATTGGGAGATAATCACATGTGACTTCATTTCAAGCATTCATCAAGGAGAAATGTAATGTTATATTAACTATTTTATATTGCCCTTGTCACTTCCTGAGGCTCTTCCTCTCCTGAGAAAACATTAACCAAGTACCACAAGAAAGATGTGATTTAATTAACTCTAAAACACACACTACATTTACCCTTTTCCTCTCACTCAGCACAGTTAATAACATTGCCTTAGAAGCCTTATGATCACAATAGCCTAGTAAAGCTATGGTAATTACCCCCTTTTTACAGATAAGAAATTCAGGCTGAGAGAGGCACCAAAAGTCACACATTCAAGGTAGAGCTGAATAAGACTTTTCATTAAGGAAGATGTCCAAAATTATATATTACACCACAGTGATGCTCCCAAAGATGCTGCATAATTAAGGAAGTACTTAAGGAAAATCTCTTTGCCCTAGACAGGGGTAAAAAGCAATCAAACTGAGCAATCTTTGCAAACCTAAGGTAGAATAGAAAAAGCATCCTGGAACTCTGGAACATTATGGGTGCAATTAGTTTGATAATTACGACACATAAAATTCAACAACCTCCATGCCAGACATCACTTGTGGAATGAATCCTGGGTTCACCTGGCCAGTCATTTTGGCCACATTAGTAGTTTTAGACAGTCATCCAGCAATCCAATAACAATTGATGACTCTATTACATATATTATAGTACATGCAGTTCATTGGAACAATTTCAAAGCCAATTTAAATTAAAAATTAGAACATTAAATTAGAAAATTAAAAGGAACCCAGTTACATGAAGACATGCACCAGTTAAAAAACTGAACACATGGATTTGCTTTCACCACTAGACTGCACATGTCCAAAGCATGAAGCTATTTCTATACAATTATTGATTTAATTGTTCACCCATTGCATGACTGTACAATCTAGGCAATGGTGACCCTCCAGGTGCACTGCAAATCCCAGCAGCCCTAGACATGGCAACCCCTGGTGAGGGATTATGGGAGTTGTAGTCCAACAGCTTGCCCATGTTGCTGAACGGTATTGACAGTTTTGACATTGGCGACAAGAAAGCTGACATTTAACCAGTAAAATACTGGAACTTACTTTGCTAATGATGATTGAAATGTCTTTCTTCTCTCCAACCTTCAAAGAAGATAAGGGAAATGTTGCTGTACCAATAGTCTCATCCATTACATAATTGGCATCCATGAGAGTGATCTACAAAAGATGTAAACTTTTTAAACATATCACATCTCTGCTCCCAGTTATCCTTTAATTGATGTATGTGATATCTTACAGCAATGTAAACAATCTGAGGTGGATTAAGGCATCAACACAAGAAAAGATAGTCTTAACCTTTCACTCAAGAAAGAAATGAACAGACAAATTGTCACATGGTCACTCTTGAGTGGGAATCTGCTGTACAACAGATTACAGAACATCACTTTACTAATAATTCATCAGATATGGCAAAACTATTACATCAAAGCTTGCTAGCATCATTGCAAGTTTATCTAATCCATCATCAGTGAAAAACATATTTTATAAAACTAATATAAGATTTTTAAAAAGAAAGTGAGCAGACAAAAAATAACCAAATTCAATAACTTCTGCATATTAGTGTGTGTTTAAATTGAACAGGGAAGATGAAAATCTTTAAACTTAGAAATAAACTCCACACAGATTAAATAATCAAAAATATTATATTTGCCTGCCCAGATTTTGATAATTCATATTGTTTTGAAAGAGTAAACAGAAAATGCCTGAAAACTGAGACCACTATAATTTCAGAACAGCTGCATGCAAGAACAAGGCATGAGCTACAGAGAAAGGTTCTGGCATTAAACATATGCACCACAAGTCACTTGGCATGAACTCTTTCCACTTTAGGAAATGGGACCAGAAGATGATGTTCTACTGATAAAGGAATACACTGATATAGGAATAGTCGCTTATTCATCTTGGAATTTGTGAGTTCCGGGCTACCAACACACAACTGATTTTGGAAGGAAGATTTCTGAAGAGACACAACCTGCTGGTATGATTTCTCACTTGATCACAACCTTTCACTCAGTGGTTACCACAAATAACCTAGTAACCCCAGGTTTAAAAGTCTTTTCAGGGAGGTCAATCTCTCAAATGCTTCACAGAATTGAGATCTGGGGTATGAATCAGAGCAACCTACACCATCTTGAAGTAGGACAGAACAAGTTTCTGAGACACACCCTGATGGCACCTAAGGGGACTCTGGCAGCTTTTCTTACAACAGAGACAGGCAGGTTGTTCATTAAAGCCAGGGCAACTCTAGCTATATTCTCCTACTATAAGAGAGTGATAGATATGTCCGATCACCGTCTACCTAAACGCTGTATGGTAGAGCAATGGAAGAGTGGAGGCTGGGCAACTTCAGTTCAAACCCTACTAAAATCTAAATCCCTCTCCACAGATATTTCTGGGGTTAAAAGAGTGTTGAGGGACTGGATCTACAAATTGGATAATGACCAGGATTTAGCCTTAATAGATTCTTCAAATTTCTCTCACTTGTACCATCTGCTGAAAACAAAACACTCAAGGGTGCAATACTGTACGTATATACACTTACTTTTGCCTCCCTGAGAACTGCATTCACAGAATTTTGTTTTCAAACCATGCCAACTGCTGTCTTAGATGGCAGGTACATGAATGTCCCTAAGCACCTAAGGCTGTGTATTTGCGGAGCAGGTGAGATAGAGGATGCTGCCCATTATCTACTCAACTATCAGCGCTATCAAAAGCCTAGAGAAAAATTTCTGGGTAACATTTTGGCTGCCCTACAGGAGGAAAGCCCTCAGATGAAGGTGGTCAGGTTACTTTTGGACTGTGACCCATATGTTACATACAGAACAACACTGTTTGTAGAAGCAGCCAGAAACATCTGCGCTAATCTTCTGAGAGCCATGGTGATCACTTGTGCGAGGGACTCCCAGATATCAAGAGTCTCTTATTATTTTAAATGTCAGTGATTTTATCATGATTTACTTGATCATATTTGTATTTCAAACAATTGTGACGGCTTTTAGCCAGTGCAATAAACTTGAACTTGGTTACCACAAATATCTCACCCATCAGCTGGAGGGGGGCAGTCTCAGTGAATACAGAGCAGGTGGACCCAGCAGAGACATGCCTATATATCACTGTTCTGGAGCTACCAGTGACCTTCAAAGTTCACCACGTCTATGGCGAAGATGGTTCAACAGTCCTGTGTCATCAATCAAATACTCAACACTTCATGATTGTGAGAAATAATTTTCTTTTTAAAAGCATATTCTAAGTCCAACTGCTAGTTCCAACTACAAAAGATCCATTGAATAAATGAACCTACTAATTGTAGGCTTAGAACTCAGAAACTGATGGGCCTACTGTATCTGGGACTAGCAATCATATGTAGATACTGGTAATATTTTGGGTGATGTGAAAAGCTTGTGGTGCTTGACCTGCCATGGTTCAGTTATTTCCAAATGTGGAAGAACTTACATGTGTCGACCAGCTATCATATAATGGCTGAAATCTTATTTTACTTGTTGCCGTGTAAAGTTACACCTGCAGAATTTCTTAGGCAGTTACACCCAGGCAATCTGTGTGTCTGACTGCACACCTGCTGTGCAATTAACTGTGCAAATTACCATACAACGGAGTGAACAGTTGACCTTGAAACTGACTGTATACTGACCATGGAACTGCATTTGTGGAATTTTGTGACACTTGCACAACTTCTAATTATCCAAGTGTAGCAATGTAACAGAACTTCAGCCTTTATGCAAGACATCAATATTATAAAGATGCACATTTGGCCATCACTTGTATTTCCCTATACTCATTCCCATAGCATAAAAATATAAGTTCAATAGTTCAAAGTCAGAGAAGTGTGAAAGGAGATTCCAAACATACACATAACTACAGTGGTGCCTTGAGTTATGAACTTAATCGGTTCCGGAAGATGGTCATAACTCAAAGCACCATTTCCCATAGGAATGCATTGAAACACAATTAATCCATTCCGGCCAGAAAAAAAACACTGAAAAACAAAAAAACACTGCAAGACTCATCGGAAACATGATTGATCCATTCCGGCCGGAAAATAAAAACACAGAGAAAAGCAAATAAAGACTGCAAGACCTATCGGAAATGTGATTGATCCATTCCAGCTGGGGGAAAAAACACCAAAAAGCAAACAAACACTGCAAGACACACCAGAAACATGAAAAAAACCCAAAAACTTTAAAACCCATTGGAAACATGAACAATAACCCATCAAAAAGCAAACAAAGACTACAAGACCCATAGGAAATGTGATTGATCCATTCCAGCTTGGGGGGGGGGGACACCAAAAAGCAAACAAACACTGCAAGACCCATTGGAAATGCGAAAAAAGCACAAAAAAGCAAACAATGACTGCAAGACCCATCAGAAACACGATTGATCCATTCTGGCCAGAAAAAAAAAAACACGAAAAAGCAAAGACTGCAAGATCCATCAGAAATGTGGGGGGGGGACACCAAAAAGCAAACAAGGACTGCAAGACCCATCAGAAATGAGCAGCTAGATTACTCTGGGCCCAAAAATCGAAAAGCGAAGAGGTTCCAACGATAGAAGAGTTGTTAAAGAAGCTATGGGATATAGCAGAACTGGACACTCTATCAGAAGCGCTACGGGAACAACCAAGAGACTATGTAAAACAAAGCTAGGAACTACTATATACATATATATATACTTAGTATACACTGGAAACCGAACGGGGGTGAGCGGAGGGTTAATGAGGCTGGAGTCTCTGACTCCAAAGGGGGGAGGGTTTAGCTTAGTAGAGAGTTTAGTTTAGGTTTTTCTTTTTTATTATTATCTTTTTTCTTTTTCTATTTCTGTTTTTTTAATGTCTTAATTAAAAAAATAAAATAAAAAAGAAATGTGAAAAAATTCCACCAAAAAGCAAAGACTGCAAGACCCACCAGAAACGCGAAAAACACACACCATAAAGCAAAAACTGCAAGACCCATCACAGCACAGAAACATAACACACACACCTCAGCCCAAACCCATGCTGCAAAACCCTGTATTCACTCACAACATGCATTTTAAAAAACAGAAAGCCGTACCAGACAGTCCGAAGCCTCCTCCAAACGCACACTGTCTAACCGCTGGGGCAAAAGAGCTACAAAGAAGCAGACTCTTTGCCAACCAATGATTAGCAGTTCAAATTCCCCGCCTTTTTTCCAGTCGTAACTCAAAGCTCTGGTCGCGAGTTAAAGCAAAATTTTGTGGCCGGAGCTGGTCGTAACTTGAAATGGTCACAGGTTAAGATGTTTGTAAGTCGAGGCACCACTGTACAATCAATGATCATGTTCTTTGTATTTTGTGTGCTACTTTGTAGTTAACACAAGCTGAAATGGTAACTTTATCTCACTATTCAATCTGTTTTCACACATTACAGCTGGAGTGCAGTGACTTTTAAGGTTCGCTGAACGATGAAGAGCAGATTGGTGTGCATATATGCATGAACACACATAAACACACATATTCAAGACTACTCAAGGTAAAAGAGGCTGTTTCTGGATTTAATTGAACTCATCTAATATATTTTAATTTGAATTATTGTTAATTACTCTTTGCAATGCAGTCATTGCAAGGTAACAATTACAATGTTAATAAATACAATTAAGATATTATTAAACATGCTGACAGCAGCACCCTGAGGGGCATAGAGCTCTCTTGAAAGCAGTTGCCAGAATGCCTCCTAGAATCCACCTCAGACTCCAGCCAAAGAGTGCACTGCCTTCTGCAACTACCTCCTGAAGATGTTGTTGCTGCTATTCCAGTTCTTGTTTTGTAGCACCAAGTTAGAATCAACGTATAGATAGCAACATTACTAGGGCTTTCAAGGTAAGTTATTTATTTAAGGACTGTTCCACATATACCCCCAGGGAATTTCCACGGCTAATGTGGGATTTGAACCCAGGTCTCCTGACTCCTAGTCCATTCCTCTACTACACAGTACATCACATTGAGTCCTCCACACCAGAGATGGGAACCCCTAAATAGGCAGTGGTGGAGGAAAATATCAAGATACTGGTGATGGAAAATGTCAAGATACTAAGAGGTCTCCTGCCTTGGGCAGGGGGTTGGACTAGAAGACTTCCGAGGTCCCATCCAACCCTATGACGATTCTATGATTCTATGAGAACTGGGGAAATACAATGGTGCCTCGCTAGACAATTGCCTCCCAAAATGAGGAATTCGCTAGATGATGACTTTTTTGAGCGATCTTGTCCTTCACAAAACGATTGTTCCAATGGGCAATTTTCACTGGACGATGTTTGGGTCCTTGCCTCAGACAGTTTTTTTTTTACCCTGTTTGGGTCCTTACCTCAGACAGGATTTTTTACCCTGTTTCGCAAGACACGTTTTTTTGGGGGGAACCCTGTTTCGCAAGACGGTTTTCCCCCCAATTAGAACACATTAATTACATAAGACCTACTTTTATATCCCAAAAAAGTGGGGAAGAAAGTGTATGCTGCTAGTTGTTCTGGGTTTTTGGGCTCTTTGGCCGTGTTCTGAAGTTTGTTCTTCCTAATGTTTTGCCAGTCTCTGTGGCCGGGTCCTTCCGAGTGCAC